CGTTTTCAACAGAAATATAACAAAGTAGTGCAGTCTATCACTACAAACTAAGTTCAGATTTTGAATGTCTTTAAATATATTTGCTTTGGATAATTGCTTTTTATGATTGGTGAACAATTGAAGTAGTGCATTCTTAAAGCAGCCGTAATGTTTTTAAAAATCCTTTTAAAAGATCTAAAAATACATTCTTAAATTTTTGTCCTGGATGACTTAACAAATGCAAAATTCGTCCATATTTAAACTTCCTTGTCAGCCATTAAGGTAATTAAACTTTAATACATTCCAGTAACTTAGTTTAGAGGTCAAGCTGTATAACTTTCTAGTTTTAACTCATGCATTGCATATAAATGAAACGATTTTGTTAATTTATATGAGTTTTCATGACAATATATTTATAATAATATGTTAAGACGAGAATCCTTATTTCATTCTTATTAGACCGAAACGTTCTGGCAACAAAATAATAACAAAGAGAATTTTCTTTTGATTTTTTTTGTGGGAAAGTTATAATTTATGACAATGGGACAAGTTGAAACATTTTCTGGCAGTTATATAACGAAGAGTGATAAATGTCAAAAGACCATTAAAATAATGCATATTTGGAACGATCACACTCGTGCTGTGTTCTTTGTCATAATTTGGCAAACGGAAATCTGTAATCATTCCAGTGTGGAAATAATGACCTAACAATGTGTTACTCAACCTAATATTTTACGGCTGATATGATCGGTGCACAAAAAATCGCATTTCATGTGAACCAGTCATTCATATAAATTTATTAGTGATTTCTGAATACTTTAACTTTGCAATTGTCAACTTCCCTTACTTATGCAATAATATACCTTCATCGCCCGCATACGGGGTGTATATTATTCTTCGGTTGATTCCATACACAAGAGCATTCTCTAAGTATGAAGAATTTTTATATGTTAGGGTAAGATTTTGACAAACAAGTTGTTGAAACAAGATTATTAACAGTCTCGTTTAAAGTCATCATCTCGATAGTTTTTGGTCAATACAATGACTTTTCAGCAAAAACAATGTATCATTAAATCTTGATTTTTTTTTTAATAATTAAGGTACTTTTTTGACAAACAAGTTGCTGAAACAAGAATACTAACAGTTTCGATTAACGTCATCATTTCAATCGATAGTTCTTTGTCGATACAATTACTTTCTCATCAAATACAATTTAGTATTAAACTTAGTTTTAAATATGAAATATATGGAGATAACGAACAGTATTCAAGATCAAAAGCCCATAAAATAATATGAAACAAGAGCAGACCAAACACGGACCTCTAAAACATCAGAGGAGGGATCAGGTGCCATGGGGGAGTGAGCATCTCCTGTAGACTGGTCACACCCGGTGTATGCTATTTGACACTCTTGTGAAATATAAGATAAAGTCGTCGTCATTTCAGTGTATAAATAATGGCCTTACACTTAGCATGAGAATCGTCAGTCAGCATTTCAGTCAGTCAGACTCAATGATTAGTTTTACTTGCTGACAAGGTCACTGCATCTACAATAGTACTTACGAAATGATGTCTTTATACTCTTGTTTTATAAACCTGTTTGTCAGTAATTTACCTCGATTTAGAAATTGTTCATACGTATGACATGCTCTTTCGTATCGAATCAACTGAGAGATATAAACTTCGTATGCAGATGACGAAGGTATATTGCTGCATTAGTTACTGAAATTGACGATATGACAGAAAAGTTTAAGACATCACTGTAATCATAGAGCTTGGTTGTTAGATTACCATTAACGTGTTTTCAAGTAATATATCCATGTATGAAACAGATGTGTCAGACTCTGTGGTATATTTTATCTCAAGCTCACCAGGATATATTGTATCGATAGGATTGTAAATTACAATTGTTCATTGACAATACATCGTCGATTTATCTAAATGTTGAGTTGAAAGACATTAGCATAATGTTTTCCAGGCTTTTCTAGCGATTTTTGATATTTTTCGTGCCAGAAATCTTAGATCAATTTGTCCGTGCTCCGAAAGGCCTTCATATAAATCGTCCTAATATTATTATAATATGTTTTTATAATATGAAAGACATGTATTTCAAAATTCACAATATAAAAGAACATTGACTATATTAATTATGTCTATGCAAAATTCGGTAAGTATTGGTTGCATATTTAAAAAATTATAAACATTGTCTCGGTTACATTTATATAGCTGGAAATCCAAGTTTATTGTGCCATATCCGTGAATTCGCAATATAAGTGTTCGTTCTAAATAATTTTTCTGTATATTTTATGCAAACGACCTGCAAAAAAATCATCATATGGTCTTGCTAATATGATTTAAACCGTAGAAGCGAAAAACATACCGCGATACTTTTCATAAAAAAATTGGTTTTCCAATATATTTAAAAAATATATAATTTTGACATAGCTATGCCCTTGTTCTGTTGAGTTTTATATGTTACCCGAATACTGTATGTATATTAGCAAAATCACGGAACTGACACATTACGTAACAATGAAAAAGCTAATCGTCCTCAATACGTCGCTAATAATATATTACATTTGTCCATTATTAGTTCATTAAAAGTACAAAAGACGAATCACCATCCTGATCAAGAATTATTTCTTATCGCAAAAAATCGCGGATATTTCTAAGAATACTTATGCGCACTTTAAGTTTACTGCAGATGTGTATCAAGTTATATTTGTATTTTTACTTTATATATTAGATGTAAAGTTATGTGTGATTTAGTATTTAAATAATTAAGCACCCTGCGTGGTACTGTAGACAATTTTTGACTTTTGATGAGGTATACTCGTGACTATACAGACCTGGTCAGGTATTGGTTGACCGAGGCAGAAGGCCCAGTTAAACCAATACCTGACCAGGACTGTATAGTCACGAGTAGACAGAATTCAAAAGTCAATAACCGTTTTATTAAATGATCAGGAATTTTACAACACTTTAACACTTTCAATATTGTCTCCATTAAAGAAAACAACCATAAAATAATTGTCATGACTTATCTAATTAATATCTAGTATTTAAAATGGAAAACAATATTATTAAACAATGAATACTCCACCATTTATTTTCTTAAGCGTTTAATATTCCTTCGAACTGGCGTCTGACATGTTCACATTCACACCGACACATGCTTTGAAACACGCAATCTCATTGGTCGAAAAAAAGAACTGTAAGCAAATCTATAGTTGGTCAAGAGTAAAATCCCGAATAAACCTCACAGAGGTGAACTCACTCTGAGGTACACCTCAGGAAAAGGCGTCTAGACCAATCAGAGAGCAACAAAATTCCTGATCATTAAAGAATAGGGATTATCATTATTATCTATTGTTATAGAGGATATTAATCAGGACCCCATCCCTGGCAGCTGTGCTACTTATCATATAGTCATTGTAATAAGTCTGGGAAAAATGTTTATAAAATGAAAAAGTTGTATTTGTCTTTGCCTTAGTATCTTTTATTCTTTGAATACTATTATCATTATGCAATATTTTGCATTTTTCCACACTGTATAATTTTCTCTTGTAGATTGTACATACATTTCATACCATGTTATTACAATGGCTACTGCAGGAAGTCGCTACTGTTCAACACCAGAAACAACAAATACTAACAGGGTCTATTCACTACTTCTTGGACCCTGTACAGACCAAATGAGAGATGTTCTACGCAAAATAATTCCGCCGTCAAGGTTTTTCATTGAATTTATGAAAAATAAAGATAATCTACGATTAACGTCGCAACAGAGAGATTTAATTCTGTCTCAAAATGGGTGTTACACTGGAAATTATGATGACTTTGATTTTTCACTGTTGTACATTCTTCTACGAAACATTTGTAACATTACACCACATAACAAGGGTTGGGGAAATGAACCAGATTTTAGTGATAAATGTCTCTCTGCAAATATCGAAAGGATGCGAATAACCCGTAACCGCTTGATTCAAACTGCAGGACATGGCCTCTCGGACAGAGATTTAAATGAATTCTGGACTTATGTTCAAGTTGCAATCGTAGCAATCGATAAATATCTTGATAATGGAAATGCTTATGAGAAGGACGTTCAGTTTTTGAGATATGCAACAATGGATCCTGAACAAGAAAAGCGTTACACAGAAAATCTGAGAAAACACTTTTTTGCTGATCAAATTACTAAAGAGCGCATTTTTGCACTGGAGGGTATTCTTTCATCTTTTTAAAAAAAACCAAATAAAAATAATAAAAATAATTAAGGTAGTCCGATCCTCAGGTTTCAAAAATCAGGAGTTAGGTGATTGAAAATACTCACAAATTTGTCTATAAATTCTTATAGTACAGATAATGTGTATTTACTGATGATATTTATTCGAATATCATGATTAAATAGAATCATATTATATAGAAAAAATTATTAAATTTCTAAAAACAAATATCAGGAAATCAAAATCAAAATACCCATTATACAATTTGATTGAAAATTATTTAAGTGATGTATTTTATGATAAAAAATTAAAGGTACCCCAAAATGTACAGAGAATATTGACTGCTTTTATACTTATTTAACACTTTCGTTTTACTACTTTGTTCATGTATTACAGACAAAGAGTGTAAAACATTTGTATTGTTGTTGTTGTAAGACATCATTGATCAATTGTCATATTATGTCATGCTTATAAACACAGATATTAAAGGTTCGATTTAGGGAATTTTTATAAAAATTCTATTATAATGCAGTTGCGTTTGTACTTCTTATAAGACCATTTGTTAGACTTCTAAGAATCTCAAATGAAATAGAGAACATAAAATCAAAATTGTTGCATGAAAAGATTTCAATTTCAAGCTTAAACTTTTTACTTCAAATACTTATTTTTCAAAGTTATTCTTCTTACCTGATGATCGGGTATCCTTCAAATGATTCACATGGTTAAACTTGCCACAAGGTCTGTATATTCCTAATTTGTCGATGTGCTTAAACACTATTAATTCATTTTTTGTATTTTAGAAAACATAGAGAGTCATATCAAGAAATCGGAAAGTAAGATTAGAGACCTCGAAGGTGAGTAATTTTTGTGTGTTATTAGTAAGAGAAATTATTGAAAACATTGAGAAAAATAAAACCGATAACATGAAATATCCTTTTGTGACAAAAGACTTAATTTCAATTCAGAAAACATAGCAAATTATCGTGAAGAAACATTGAAGAAGATAAGTCATCTTGAAGGTTAGTTAAAAATAATTGTAAATGGTAATACTTTTAAATTTACTATAAAATTTATTTAAAAGTCTTAAAAATGAATGAAGATATACAAAAACTAAATGATATAAAGTACATTATATTATTTTGAGGTATACATGTATTTACAAAGCAGATATTTACAGTTGTTATGTACCTTACCCCTGGCGTCATCTTTTGATAAATATTTGAGGAGTGATTGATTGATTGCATGTTGCTTAAAGTCCTGTTAGAAAAAAATTCACTCATAAAGAGATGTCACAATATACTGTGATTGGTTTCAAATTTTATATTCATGGGGAATGACTACAAATTTATACCTTAACCTAGTGCCAAGTACAATCAGAAGTGAAGGGAATTTATCGTGCTAACGCATATGTAGTGACAAGAAAGGGGAGGGGGCAAGGTTTTTCAAGGCCGGGTCCAAAGGAATCGCAACTTTCACTTCGAGGTACTGAGTGCTTGGTGAGTGTTCAGTTGCTATATGTACCTATTTTTCTTTAGGAAATTAGGTTAGTCTCGGCAAACAACCCTCCGATTAAAGAGCAAACGTTCTATCAAATTAGCTGCAATAATGTAGCACTCTCCTTTTTTTGGCTCCTAAGGATCTCCATAATGGTGCAAATGTCTGCTCAAATTATCAGTAAATGGCTATTTTATTAACATCTAAAACTGTAGTTATACAAGACATAGATCGACCCCAAAAAATTCATAATGATCCATATTTATCAGTAATTTTTCGTGAATGTCAGCATTACAAAATGCTCTTATTCGCCATGTTTACTGACCTTAATTGATGTTTTTGAGACAGCCAATGAGAACCTAAGATCCTCAGGAATTCTTTTAATTTTAGCATAAATATTGCTGTTGCGTAACAATAACGCTTGAAATTGTTTTATTTATTGATGTTTTTGTGACGCCATTCAGAATAATTATTTATGAACACTGACATTAGCTTTATTGAGTAGTTCTAAAATTCAAGCCAACGGTTCAGTGCATAACCTGTGAATTGTAATGGCCTCTGAGTAGAGCGACTGGTAAACAAGCAGATTAATTTTACAAGTTTTCGCGTTTAATGGGTTTTGATGTTGACAGTGAAAAAAAATGTCTTTTAAGAAGAAAGTTGAATGTAAAATCAACTCAGATACTGTAGATTCCTAATTATACGCGAGGAATTAATTCCCGCGTAATTTCGCGAGAAGCGTCACTCGCGAAATAATATTTCTCGCTTTTATTTTTATGGTGCTGAAATCGATGTAAATTCTGTTGATCAACCGTCCATTCGCGAATTATAATTCTCTTGATTTGACGTGAAAACCCAGTTCGCGATACAAAGTACTCCCGAAAAATTAGGAATCTACAGTATTTTAAGGACCGATATTGAAAATGTTACCTAAGCACGATTTTGATATGTATTTCTTCTTTTAAAAAATGTAACAAAGCAACTAAATACCTGTAGAAAACATGCTTGTATAAAAATAGAATTGTTAAGCTGAATGTAGGGAATGAGGATAGTGCAAGGGCATATGGCTGTTTTTCAAGAAAAAGATGTGCTTGTGAAACACTATGCATCCGTCGACAACAAAGTTCGAAAAAGCTATTTTAGCATGAAGGTTACAGCCAAGGTCACAACGTCATTGACCTTGGCGTCTTTTGAAAGTTTTTAATCAGTGAAGTATGCATATCAAATAAAAATTCTTTTTCTCCTTTTGCTCAAAAGTTATAGCGAAATTGCGAAAAATAAATTTCTAACATATTGACCAAGGTCAAGGTCAAAAGGTCATCGTCGTTGGTGTCACTTGAATGTGCTTAATTAGTTAAGTAAGCATTCCAAACATGAACTCTCTATCTCGAACGGTTCAAAAGTTATGGGGTCACGGTAGCCTAGTGGTAGAGCGTTCGCTTCGTGATCGAGAGGCCCGGGTTCGATTCTCGTTCCCGGCGCCGTGTCATACCTAAGACCTAAACAAAGGTAGTGACTGTTCCTTCGCCAAGCGCTCTGCACTAGAAGTGAAAGTCACAGACTTTCGGATATGACCTTAAAAACGTAAGTCCCGTGTCACAGTAGGCGCTGGCACGATAAAGAACCCTCACTGCTCAATGGCCCTGAGTGCCGAGTATAGGTCTAAATTTGAAGCCCTTCACCGGCATACGGTGACGTCTCCATATAAGTTAAAAATTCTCAAGAGGGACGTTAAACAATATACAATCAATCAATCAATCAATCAAAAGTTATAGAGAAGGTTAAAGTTGACATCAGACAGACACACAGATAAACAGACAAACAGACAGACAGACAAAACAATATATGCTCCATATAAATTTGGTTGCATATAAAAATTTGTACACAATAAAAGGTATTTATTTCCTCTACCCCAAAAGTGCTGGGAGATAGTCTGTGCTGTTTGCAAAGTACTGAAAATTTTGCAGAAAATGTTTATAATAGCTAAAAATTTACTCTTCGCTTAAATTCTGTTATAAATAAAAATAATGTTATGCAGACTACTATCAGCTCCCAGCACTTTTCAAAATATACGATATATAAGTAATAAATATTCCAAATTTCAGCTCAAACAAATAGTCTACGCCCTTTAACTTTTGCTGTGAATCTCGAATACGCTTATCGTTTTAACGCTATTCTCTACATTCCTTGTCATCGTGCAGACCTAATGCTACTCGATAATTTCATATTCTATACAAATTGTATTGAATAAAATTTGTTCTTTTAATTTTATCGATAAGGTAAATAAACGCGATGATTTCACATTTATTTAAGCATTCTTGTAATTATTAAACCAGTGAATCTAGTACTCTGTATTACCTGTGCTGCCTCATGTCAAGGCTGATGACGTCATATTTGACGAAAGACTTTCTTTTATTACTCGACTGTATTGCTAACAAGTATTGCAATTTTACAAGATCTTATAAATGATTGAGAAGATAAATCAATTCAAGTTTTTTTTTATGCATCATCATGTCGCTAATTAATATTTGCGTCTTGTTAAATTTTCATGACACCACAATTAAACTTCAAATACGGTGTAGCAGGAATGTGAACTCTGACCTTCCTTAACATTTTGCTCGCATGCAGTAATCCGTATTAAAAAAAAATATTTGCACCGTTACAAAGCTGTTTTGGAATTGTCGCCCTCTCCAGAAAACACCAAATTAAAAGAATGGAGAGGGTCACCATCACTTTGTTTACATGACTTTTTATTTTGCTTATAAACCCCTTTTTGACGTTATGAAAGATAAGGAACAGTATACAAGATCAGAAGTCCATAAAATCAGAACACTGGTAAAGTAGTGATAGTTTGTCGTTAAGGAGTTAAAATGATGCTTACTTTAACAGGATTTAGGATTCAAATCTTACACAGAAGCCTTTACAGGGTGCAGAAGTAGACAGTATCCCGAATTTCTTCAATTCTGGTAGAAATTCATCATATTTGAAATACTTTTCTCTTATGAATAAAGAGCACAAGCCTGCCTAAACTGTGCTGTAAAATCACTGAAAATTTGCATATAAATGAGTAAATTCAAAAATTGACCTATTTTCGACCTCTATGTATTTCAAAACAAAAAGAACCAATAATCATTTTGTGACAGGGATGACAGCAGGCTTCTACTGATAAACTTTTACATCTGAAAGACACCAAAAAACAAGGGTCACCAAGGATACATACTCTTACGCGTTGCTGATAAGACTTTACTACAAACAGTACGCAAATACAAAATTTAAAGAAGTTATTCCCTTATTTAAAAAAAATCAATAAAAGTAGGTTAAAGTGTCATAAATAAATAAGATTAGATAAAAAAAAAACCTCTTAAATAATCCAAATATGTTGGAATTGTGACCAAGAATAGAATTGGATAATTGTAGTTGAAGGTACACAAGATATCTAATATTTGTACCTTTCATTGTATACAGGATGGGAAAATATTTTAATATAACACTGAAGAAATACCTTACTACTTTAACTTGTTTGCCTAGTAAATCGTTCATTGGGTTTTATAGTAATCACTCTGCTGACTAGATAGTGAGTAGTAGGTGTAGCATGGAGCAGGAGTTTCATAGATACCTACTTACCTAGTGAAAGTTAGCATAAATCCTAGATTTACTGATCAGATCTAGTAAATCTATTCAATACCTAGTAAAACTACGTTTAAGGTAGTAATTGTATGGACAGTGAATCTACCAATTATTTTCGTTATCTCCACTAGTTATCTTTTTCAGTGTAACAGACTTGCCTGTAACTTGTCATGGTACTTATGTGAAATATGTAGAGATGATGAATAATATTCAAGCTCAAAAGTCCATTAAACAATACAAAATTGTGACACAGCAAACAAAAACCTCAGAAGTGGTATCAAGTGCCATGGAGGAATGTGCATTCCCTGCCGATCGGTCACACTCACCGTATGCTTCTTATCATGATCGGGTAATAATACAAAATTCCCTCGACAAATCAGAGTGCAATTAATAATTAAACAATTATAGTATGAAAAACGTCAGTTAGCATTTGACTCAATGATAAATTGTATCAGCTGATAAGGTTGTTATATCGACAATAGAACGTTTGAAATTATGACTTTAAACGAGGCTTTTCATATTCTTGTTTTATCAATTTGTTGTTGATAACCTACCTCATTTTAGAAATTGTACATACATGAACGTAGAGTAAGTTCTTGCGTACCGACTCAACTAAAAGATATAAATTCCGCATGCAAGTGATAAAGCAAGAAACTTTGTAAGCAAATATTCTATTCTTTGAATTATTCAACATAATTACAAATCCGCATTTTGAAATACGTATGTAAATTTCATTCTTTATTTGGTTATTTGAATTGATGATTATCCAAATTCTTGCTGTTTTACAGCACTACATTTGACAGAAACGTTTTGTATTGAGCACTCTAAAGAAGATAATGGTAAGAAATAGAATATTGATTTTAAAAGAAACCACACAAAGCTATAGATTTCATTATTTGCAAATTTATTCAAGTTTACAATTTAAAGAGCATTATGCTGTACTGTGGAAAAAGGGGAAATGTCTTGGAAGAGGTGCACATGGTGAAGTTTACCTTTGTTCTAATGAGACCTTCGGATACAGGGCAGTGAAAATTGTCAAAATAACCGAAATAGATGACAAAACTTCTGAGGTATGTTCTTACTTTATAAAAGTACAGTTCCTTTATCTTGGTTTCGATTTGATAGGACAATTTATCCAAATATATGAACATTTATGATAAGTCGTACGCCTTGATTTTATATCCTTTTTGATAGAAAGCAGGAAATATAGATGCAAATAAAAGTTTTGAATACATAAACAATTGATAAGTTTTATTCTCAAATGTATGTTCTGTCCATTTATCTGAAATATTAATTATTTAAAGAGACAAAATTCAAATCACACGTAGGGTTTTCCCCTAGATATTCAGATCCTTATAAAATGATGCAAAAAAGTTAAATTGTGAATATTTTACAGCTACAGACTGAGTTGGAGGGCAGCAAGTGTTTTGTCGTACCTAATTATAACCGTTAGGGTGATGCAGTTAGCCCGAACGCAAACAGTATGGTTAGAGTAGTCGAATTAGCTCATTTTGCCCGAAAACTTAGTCAAATAATGCTTTGTTATAATTTTTGATTTCACATATGTGTATCTTGTGCTGGCTTCCATGATATGTTTCCTTTACCTGCACTTCGGTAAACTCGCTCAGTTCAGAACACCAACAAATATAACTGGTATTCAGCTGATTAAGTCCATAGTGTTAAGTTTGCCTCCAACATCTCATCAACGAAACCATTGGCTCATTCCACAATAAAACTTTGATTTTTTTGTGGACGGTCGGTAAAAATGAGAAAAGAAGGTGTTGCAGAAACTCGCGATTATTCCCTATATATCGAGAAGGACATTTAAATACTCTCGTTATGTCTAAATATAGATACAGCTACGTAAAGAAAGACGTAGTTGAGGAATCCAGTACATACCTAAGGTAAGATAAATTCATATTCATTTTGATTGTTGGGAATCAGAAATATCTAAATTTACCATGTCCCTGTTGACATGGATCATGAGAAAGAGGTATATGTTCTCATATTAAATTTTTCAAGAAATATGCACTTTAATATATACATGTATGCTTCTAAACTTAATAATGAATTACCAACAAATGAAATTTTCTCCAGATCCTACATCTTATGCATTTAATGCTTTTAATTAGAAATTGAGTTTTACGGAAACCCGTTGGAGCCTTGTAAGAAATTTTTTTTATCTGGCGGTCGCCACTAGATTTATATCTGGCGGCCACCACATAATTTATCTGGCGGCCGCCACATCATAAATTACTTGTCAAATGGTCAGTGTTATTGTATCTTTATTGGGTTAAGAAGATGGATGTTGACACAGCAGCTGCTTTGTAAATGTGTAAAAATAAAGACATAAATCAGCCAAACTTGTCAAAGAAATTTTTTAGGAATCTACACTCTAAACCAAACTTTCTGTTGGAAATATAAGCATTCATAAATGTATATAGAAATATAGTAAAGAGTGTTTCGGCAGTTTTGTAATGGATGTTTGCGCTTAGGTCTGCCGTGTGGTGTCAAAATGTAGACATCAATCAGCCAAACTTGTCCATGAAATGTATTAGGACCCAAAGATTACCAATGACATTGCAGCTCTCAATAGTATCCTACAAGACGTTAAGAAACACTTGTCAGAGAGAGGCTACTCTGATACAAAAATAGATCCTATTATCACAGACATAATTTGAACAGACAGAAATGAGATCCTAAATAAAAGTAACAGCCAATTGAAACTCCACAATAAATTGGTTATATATTTATATGATCCCCGAATTAAAGGATTAAAAAAACGCATCTTAAAATGCTGGAACGAAATGGAAACAGACACAAGATGCAAAGAAATATTTACATCGGAACCCATTATAGCTTATAGCAAAGACAAAAGCATAGGCGATAAAGGACAAGATAGGGTATGACCAGTATTTGGCCCCCGATTTTGGGTGTCTTTCAGAATGATCCAACAGTTTTGTCCATGAAAACCTGTTTTCACCCCTGCCACAAAATGAGTCCTGGTTTTAAGATTAAGAATATACAGAGATCGCAGTGAGGTCAGGAAATAAGTCAATTTTCGAAATTTCTCATTTTTATGCAAATTTTCACTAATTTTACAGCACATTTTCTTTCGGAAAACATAGAGCACACGCTTGCCTATCTACCAAATTTATATATTTTATACACTTATATCAGATGCAGTATATGTGTAAAAAATCTCAGATAGGCAAGCGTGTGCTCTATGTTTTCAGAAAAGAAATGTACGCAAAATATGATGAAAATCCACCAGAATTGATGAAATTCGGGAAAATGTCCTATTTCTGAACCCTCTAGTGGCTTCCATGTAGCCTTTGAATCAAAATTAGTGCTTGTCTTAAAGTAAGCATCATTTTAACTTCTTAACTACAAACTATCACAGTTTTATCAGTGTTCTGATTTTTATATAAAAAATTCGGCTGTTACCCTATCTTGTCCTTATGAGATCACGTTTACCATATGATCACACTGCTAAGATGGACCCCTGAGGAGGCAGGCCTTAGGGCATTTTTTTTTTACATACATTGCTACTTTTTTTCATATCACAAACAGTAAGAAGGGGGGGGGTGGCAACCAACGTTTCAATAGACATGTTCAATAGTAAAGGTAATATTGAGAATAAAAGTGGGGGGACACATTCTGGCCCCTCTGGTGCTACGTGCCTGGAGAGTTTGTAAATGAAGTGTAAAATTTAGCTCATAATTGTTGAAATGAGCTATGATATGCATTTTTCATATTCAATCTGCATTTAAATAATATAACACCGTCTCAGGGTTGTTTTTTTAGTTTTTAAGTCCTTAGAAACTCATGTTTTTCTTTAAATACTGTATCACTTACGTTGTCTCATTTTTTCTTAGCTATGTTAGCAGTGCAACAGAGTCAAACCTTTCATCTGTTAGATGTAAAAAAAATATATAATTTGCTGATTTATCAGTAAAATTCGTTCAGTACGAATACATATAAAACTAAAACACGGACATAGCCAAGTTTTTAATGGTCTCAGTCTAAATTCTTAACAGTTTTTGTCACATTTAACGGTTACAACGAATATTGATATAACGATTCTATAGATAAAGCAAATTTTGTTCCCCAAAAAGTTAAATATAAAGAAATTTACATATTTTCATAAGGATTTTTCAAAATTTGATAAATTGAATTGACTCTATTAGTCCCCTACCAGAGCAACCGGAGGGGATAATAGGTTTCCTCTGCGTCTGTTAGTCTGTCCTACCAAAACTCTAGCAGATCTTGTTCAATTTTGGTATGTGAGTGTGTCATGATGAGTTACAGATCAAGTTTGAATGTCCTTTGGCTTTAATAATTTTTGACAGAATTATGGTAATTATAATTTTTCTTAATGTTTTAAGATCGGCTACGTGCTGCACTTATTCCAAAAAAATCAACATGGTAAATACGACGCGAAAAAAAGACTTTTTAAAAAAAATGTCAAATTTTCGTCTTTTTGTGGATTTTTTTTAGGCTAACGGCATGGAATGTACAACAAAATTCTTACATCAAGAAGTTTTATCTAGTCATAATTTTGCATGTAATAAAATGACATCTTTAAGAAAAAGTGGGAACCCGGTAGGGGGCATGAAGTGCTTATGCAATACGTGTTTTCATTAAGTATTTGTATATATATGTATTTCAACCGCACTAAACCAAGTCTTACTGTATTTGTAAATTCCTTTCAAAATTTCATATACAATCATTTTAAAACTTGATGTACAATCTAAGTTGTATAACACTTGTCATTTGTTTGAATTACATCTTTAAACATAGGGATCATTAAAGGCATTGATTGATGAATCAAAGGGCTTATTGGAATCCCACACTCAGAACTATACTAAACAAATACTTGATGGTTTATGTTTTCTTCATGAGAAGGGATATATTCATAGAGACCTTAAAGGTAAGGAATAAATTATTATTCCTTTTGTCGTCATTTGTTAGATGATTAACTTTGTTTTTAAATAAGAACCCTACTAATGTGTTCAGAACCTTTTATTTTTCGGTTTCCGCTAATCATAATTTCCGATAAGTTCAGAATAGCTCTGTCAGTGGCTCTGGTGAGAGTTATTGAGACTACAGTGAGATCGGGTAAATTATTCACGGAAATGTGGCCGCCGGGGAGTGACTTGCAAGTTGAGGCATGGTAATCAGAAAAGTTATGTTGCGTTGAATTTTTTATAACCCTATAAAATTTATAGAAATGTACTTCAATTGATCTCTCTTGAATTTATTCAAACTTCAATAAGTATTCTCTATGATAAAATTTTTCTGCACTCTTGAATAAAATTTCTTTTTTGACAAAACTCTTTGCATAGGAACTGGGATTATAATTATTTGCGTCAGATTAGCAAATGAGGCACCAACACGACTTGCAATGATAAATCAGTTGAATTAGAAATGCGTTATGGGTTACTACGAATGCTACAGGAATTTTACTCTTGAAAAAAAAAGACAAAACTTATGGCTATCCGAAAGGCACAAAGGTCATTTTCCATCCATTTCGTAAAAGAAAAGCATTTTTTCAGTCCTATTATTTTTGTGCTCAAATGAAAAACAATTCATTTGTTAAATAAACGGTGTAAGTCTAAGTTACCAGAGTCATACAGCTAAGCGAATTGCATCTGTATTAATTCCTTTGTTGTACTTTTCGTGAATACAATTGTCAAGTGCATTCCCTGGACAAAAAACATTATCACAAGTATAGTTTTGTAAAAATGTTTTGTCCGTTTAAATGTATAAGGGATGCCGCGTGTTTTCTTAACCATTGATGGAAGCGCAGGTTGAGAGTAACTACATTTTTTACCTAAACCACGTGTTCAAAGTAAAATGTGAACATGTATTTGGCGTAAGCGTTGCTATTCATTCAAGGATTGGTCAGTTGCTCCTGGTAAGATGCTCTGTGTACATCAATAACAATAGCCATCTGAGGCAAACAAAAGTTTTGTCAGACTTCATGATATGATACGTTTTACCAACCTGTCGGTCGCTAGTTAGCTTTAATGTTTACCGTTAATTAAGATGAGATATGTTCTTTTAACCCTCCCCCTTTGTCACCCTTTTCTAAAGTCTGTCAGAAAGGCCTGGAAATACATTTTTCGAGGGCATGTTTTCAAAAGAAACAGCCTATACCAATTTCCTGTTTACTGCAAATTTACGCATTTATAAAACCTTTCCTACCCTATAACATTTGAACAAGTCAGCCTAAACCACGCGTCTTAAATTTAAATTACGATAACAATAGTAGGGGTGAATAAGGAAATACAAATTCATAAAAATGATTGTGATGGAAAGTTTGTTCGCTTGCACTTACAAAAAAAGAAGTTTCAGAATTTAATAAAACAGAAAGGCAGATAAACAGATATTGTTTTTTTTAGTTTGGCTGTAACGCGTAAATTGACTGTTTTGAATATTAATCGATAATTGATGTCAAGAACGTTACGCAAAGTACCCTTAATTTGATGGCACTTATTATGAAAGGAAAAATTGACTAAATATCAGTATTTCATGATAGAAAAATAAATTATAAAAATGAAATTAATAGTTTCCCAAGTAATACTGATATAACTCGGGTGGGCCAGTTAACAGTTATGGTTTTGCTACGTTTTAAAGAGATTGCTTTCAGAATTAAAGACATAAAATAGCAAGCGACAAAATATAATAAAAAAAAGCAGAGTATACAATTTTTATTATTTATGAAAAAAATCATATTTGTTTTCAAAATAAGTCTAACTTTATGCATATTTTAGCTTGTGCAAGTACTAGTATTTTTTTTTTTTTACTATCGTTCTTATAATCAAATTTATAACATCTTGAATTACAGATTAATATGTGTTTGTGCCGTTATTATCGGCGGGTAGATCATGGGTCAGGACATTTGACACAGTTGTGCTAAGGTGGATTCTCGATACAACCAATCATGATCTCCCTCAAGAATACAAAATAATATCTATTTTGTTTTAGATCTACTGTAACTATGCAGTCAATTTATTGGGGGTTCTTTTTGTATTAGCAGTTTTGCTGTAAATTATGTATTAGAAAAACTTACTATTTGAAACACATTTGGGATATGGAAATATCGAAGAAAAAAAATGATGATTCCGTAAGGCATATAAAAGCAAGAAAATTTTATTACTTTGTGAATATATGCAGGCACCTTGGATTCAAGTATATTTAAAGGACATTTCACAACCGTTGACTTGTGATTGCAAATTGGATAGATAGTGCAAAAATTATTAGATAAAATTAAATCTTACAAAAGAGAACAATACCAACTTGCAGGTTTTAAAAAAAATTGTTTTGTATTGAGAAAATTATAATGTTTTGTTGTTATTTTGTTCCTTGTCGTTTCTTTCATTCTTTTAGAAGTCTTCCAAATTCATCCCCGTATTTTAGTGAAAATGGATTTTATCAGTTTCTTTAACTTTCAATATTTTCTTGAAAAAAACTGTATACAGTGGTATCCCCCCCCCCGTTTTAATATCTCTCTCTATTTTTCTCAGCTACCACATCATTGTCGAACTTTAATTTTATTCATGCATTATTTTTTTTCAGCTGCGAATATATTACTTGACATTGACAAGAAGAACATAAAACTGGCTGATTTTGGTGTGTCGAGGTTTAGGAACACAATTTCAAGTGGTCAAGTAAAAACTTTTACAGGCACTATCTACTGGATGTCACCTGAAATGATTACTAAAGAAGGCTATGGCACAAAAACCGACATCTGGTAAGGATGAGGGTAGATCAAAGAAATTTTCTGTTAAATAAAATCCCCAGTATATTTATATACTTTTTTAAATCCTTTTTAGTTATACTTTAAATCGTTCTTTTGAAAGATTAAGTATCATATCTGCATTACTGTTTGCTAACAAGTCTTGCAAGGCCCTCACATTTACACATTTTTAGCATTTGTGACATCAAAATAAATTTCCTAACCATAGACCTCCACATTAGTGATAAACTTTGAATGGTGAAGTTTTAAACAAATTTTAAACGCAAAACATATTTACATACATGTTTGGATTTTGTGTGCGTAAATCGTACTTGTCTTTTAGCCATTTCAATGTTATCATCTGCCTACATTCATCCCTAAAACGTTTCTATCTATAAAATATTAAGGTTTTTGTCGCAATCTTTCGTCCTCTGTTCAATTTTGCAAAATCTATTACTCATTTTGGCGATTTTCAAATTTTCATATGAAACAGTATGATTTGTTGAAGAACATCTTGTTCTGTGGTATCATTTTTCATTTTACAAAGAACAAGGTTCACCTTTGCCTTATTTGGCCCTGTGAATTTCTGAAAAACTGAAACTACTTAGTTTAGATAAACAATGTATTGAATATCATTAAGATCTTTTGTGACTGCGTATCTATCAAAAGTGACGTGATTTTCAGTTTAGTCAATGCATTATGAATTCACAAATGCGTCAATTTCCTCATTTAATGAAAAGAGACTACAAAAATGGCCAATTTTTGAAGTTTTAATTTGATATAGAGCGCAACCTCTGATCTAAAATATGCAACTATTATATTGATAGAGCTCCTTCTGGGGATTAGAAGACATGTTTTATTTTATAAGTACTCAAATATACCTATTTACCTTATAATTCAAGACCATCACAATTTCATAGAGCCAGTGCTCCAAGACCTTGACTTTTAGGAGAAAATTTTAAAAAGGAAATGAAAGCACAAAGTTTCATTTATATTTAAATGCTTCAAATGGATCATCAAATGATAATCAATAAATCAGTATATCTACAGGGTCATTTTATGCATGAAGAGAATCAAGCTCTTTTACGCATTAAAGTCAATTTAACATTTATAAAATTCCGTTCCGACATTTTTAAAACCATTGTTTACCTCTTCTGTTCGGTATATATTTTGGAAAATTATATTTCCTGCCAATATCTCCAAATTCTTTAATTCAAATTGCTTAGCAAAGTTTGAAGTTTGGGAATGTCCAATGTGCAAATCAAATTTTTTAAAAAAATCGGCATTCTCACATTTAATTATCAAACGTAAAGTTTAAAATCTTAAAGCGTGTGTTAAATTGACTTTTCAAAACATGTGCAAACTGTTAATTTCTATCACATATCAATATCGATTTTTTCGCGACATGTCCCTTTTTCTATTCGCTAATATAACTTCAAGGAGATAGGAGATATTTTATTTAAAAAGATAACGATTTTACAAATTTTCAGATTTTTGTAATTTCATATGACAATCCTATTTTGTAGGAGTTTGGCTTGTGTAATTTTGGAAATGTTTACCACCAGAACACCTTGGTCTGAATTAGAGAGTCAAGCTGCTATTTTTAAGATAGGCAACGGTGCAGAATTCGATTACAGACTTCCGGAGAAAGTTTCAGAGACTTGCAGAAGATTCTTGGATCAGTGTTTTCAAAGAGACCCAGTAAAAAGACCCTCCGCAAAAGTTCTAGTGAACTATGCATGGATTGAACACGTATCTAATACACGTCTCTAAAATTTAGAATATCCTGTTGGTATCGTTTCAAATTTAATATTACGATAAAAGCATTTGAACTTGAAATAAGCCTTCCACAGAGTCTGACACATCTACGGGTTTTTCATGTTCAGATAATTTACAAGGTAAAAATTTTAAGGTTTTGGTCGCGAGAAAACTTAATGACATCATTTATTTTACAATTGACTTCCCTCATTTTAAATTTTGATGCGCTTTCTTGAATGAGCCAAACTATTGAAAACAAGCCAGTATTACAAGAATATTAACAGCCGTGTCATGTTCTTCAATTTTATTAAAATGTTTTGTTTTCATTTTCACAAAACTGTATACTAGCTGCACGTGGCGGGAGTGACCGGTCGTATAATTATGTGCTTTTTAAAGTTCACTGGCTGATTTTTTTATGTACATCGAAAAAAATGTTTCATATTTCATTTACTATCAAAAAGTTTTATGAATTTCTATGATCGAATTCGTGATTTGTTTTTCATTAATGTAAACTAAACTTTTAAATAAGTTTAAAATCCACAAAAACCTAGCTTATCAAAACTTAGAAAAAATGCACCGATTTTGAGAAATACTGTTTCAAAGTACAACACTCGTAAGTCATTTAATTATTCCTTACAATGCAGGCTTTAATTATTCAACAAATAATTTGTCCCAAACACTGATCAAATATGGAATTCACAGAGTAACGTCTATCAGAAATATAAAAAAAATCAATTGGAATTTTTACTAGAAATTGAAAAATGATCATGATAAACTTCTCGAATGTTACGCATATGACACAGGCATCTGAACATTTTACATACAAAATGAAGAAAACATTGTATTTTGAATAATGATCTGCATATATATAATGATCATAACAAATCCAAATAGTAATTGTAGGATGCAAGAAAATAGTAAGCATTTTTACTTTGTATACAATATGTTCTGAACCTAGACGTTTAATGAAGAAGGTTACTTGTAATTCATAATTTAAAAATAATATACAAAAATTGCTATGGGAAGATGATGATACCTTATCTTTGGAAGAAAATTAAACGAAGAAAAATATTTAGTATAGTTTAAAGATTGTTTGAGGAATAGTTGTATTATCTTTATATAAATTATTTTATTTTGATAATATCAACATTTTAATTATTTTTACCATGTCTAAAGGGTGTTATTAATTTCCTTCTCCCTTTTTTCTTTTATTTTCGAAAAGAAATACGATTAGAAGATATTTACAATTTGGTATATTTCATGTTTACAGAGTGTATTCTAGATACTATTAAGAATTTAACTTTTTTTTTTGGTTGAATCAATAAGGAGAAGGTAGGTATTAAGGTAAGGTTTGCGTTTACAGGGAGATAACTCTTGCGAATCACCAAAGCGTTTGAAACAGGCGATTTTAAACCAGCGATGCTAAGCATCTCGGTAACGAATTTCCTCTGTCATACTTGATGTTTGTTGTCACTTATTGTTAGGACTAAAAACAAAGGATGTTTTCAGGAGAAAGTCTTATAACAAATCAAAGCATAGGAATCTTAGAATCCTTTGAGATTAGCGTGATGCATGTGGATGAACCAATAAAGGAGGACTTGTTTATTTTCGATACGGAACGTGGCAAGTTGCTCGGCCATTCCGATCAGAAGAGAGTCATTGACGCATTGTGCTGTTGTGTGTTTCTCGCTTCACCATTACACTAAAATTTTAAGTGAGAATGGGAAAGAAAAAAGAAAAGACCTGAGAGTATCCTGTAAAGTATTATGCTATATGCAGTCCCGAACAGGGAAGAAAAGTCACGGTGCATTTGACCATGTCCAATGATGATGTTGACAGTTTGATTGTTGATAGTATTTTCATCAGGTAATTATTAAACTATTCATTTTACTGAAAGTTATGAATGATCTACTGACTACGGATTTAATAACGATGAATAAACGGTACAAGGATGTCAGGATGTGACTAATATCCCAACATTGCCTAAAAATAAAAATGCATTCATTCAAGAAAATTATGAAAAATAAAATCCTTGCTTTTTAGGCCTAATATTTGTAACATTATTGGAACAGTATTCAATTGTTCAAGTTACCTTTTTAAATGAGGTTTGATTTTAATTAATATCTCATTTTCTAATTAATAAAAAAAGATACAGATTGTGCATGACACGAACATTAATTTTCTTGATCAAGCATTTGCATTTCACTAATTCAATCTGTAAATTTTACAATAATTTTATATTGATTCTTCATTGATTATATTGGAAATTTATTCATTTCATTGAGTGAATGAAACTCAGTGCAATTCCTTATGCAATTCCAAAAATGCAATTCCTTAAATGTAATTATTGTAAAAATGAACACATATGATTTCAGATCATGGGTCATTAATTGGAATAGATAAGAACCAAAAAAAGTGTTTCCTTAAAAGATTTGTGCCATCAATCAAAGTAGAGGTCATCCCAAGAATATTAAAGAAAGTTGGATGGATCAAGCTAAGATGTTGAACCAGACATGCAAAATCAATGGAGATTTGGAGAAGAACTTCTGACTTGTTATACCCAATGCATATTTTTATATGTCTATAGATTATAGAAGAAAATTTAATGTTTAACAACATCCTATCTAGTATATACATGCTGTTTTCCGTATATTTAGAAAATATGTGTATGTGATGATTGCAGTGCATGCTCTGTTTGTCCATCTTTGAATTTGTTTTCAGTAAAATAAATGTATAAATCATAGGTATTAATTGAAGGTTGCTTTTGTCTATACTTACATGTAACAAGTTTCTTAAAAGGGTTTGTAAAATTGCAAGGAAATTAATACATGAACAATTAAGATTAATATTTTTATTCATTAAATTTTTTTCTTACCAGGACCTAATATGCTCAAATAAGTATTTCTGAAAACTGATGAGTTTTGTACATAAAGCTGCAGTGAACATGTATAATTATATCTACTGTAACAGTTTAAAACATGACACTTGGAAATTGTAAGGTTGTTAATTTAGTAGGAATGATAAGACCAGTTTAGTAATCTACTAGAATTAAAATCTTTCACAAATACATGTAGTTTATTTTAAAATTGTATATATTTATAATCTTTTATTTTTTTTTCTGTATTTTGATTTTAAAAAGGAACAATTTTTGTTATATTGAAATTATTATTTCATGGATATCAAGGAGATATATCTATCACTGTAGCATTGTTTCTTTTTCCCTGTTCTTGACAAATATTTACATTGACAGTGTTATGTCATTTTGCAGAATTTGCCTTTTCTCTGAAATCAGAAGTACTCTGTAAACTCATTAAAGTATGAATTGATGTCACTTAGAATTCATCTTTATTTTGTTCTGTCTGATATTTCAATTTAGATTCTCAGACTACCTAATCCAATGATTGAGCTATTAAAATGTCCATGAAGTGTAGAAATAGGCCATCTTTAAAGAATGTTTGATTGTCGGCCTCTCCAGACCGACTGACTAAAATGACCAGACTGAAAACTTTTTTTTCAATGCAGGGCCGTATTTTTTTTCTTTTTATTCCTCTTATCCCCCTTAAAAAAATGTTGTTGAAGATTTTCTCACCTACCGACCCAATAATTTTACCCTGAGTCAAGAGAGGGCAAACAAACAGTACTTTAAAGATAGCATTTCTACTCTTCGAAGTAAAGAAATCATTTAATTATAAAAACAGCAGCTTCGTGGATGCAATGCTTACAACATTTCACTCAAAAAATTGCATACATGTATAATGACAGTCACCAGCCATAACTGAATAAAGATATTTTGCTACAAAGATGTCTAGAAGTTACTACATGTTGGAATAACTAAATCAGAGTGAGGTCAAATTCATAGGCTTTTAATTGATTTAGTTGCAACATGTTCTGAAGTATGTTTATATACATATACAGGTACTTCTAAAGGTGTTGCAATATAATTCATGGACAGTTTCATCAGAATATTCAGATGTAAAGATTGCCATAAATACTAGAGTTCTTCCATGGAATAAATTTTTAGACCATCATGTAGCACAGGAGGAGTTTTATTTTGAATATTTTTGGCCAATTTATGCCTAAAAACTATATCAAAAATAACATTTAGTCTTTAACATTCACCATGACAAGGTAATATCTATGTTATCTTTAAAAGTGTAGAAAAAGCCTGATTTTTATGTTCCGAACCCATAATATAGCCCCTGTTTCCATGGAAATAATATTGGGGACATACATATTTTTTTAGTTCAAATTAATGAAAATGATCAAATTAATAACTTCATGGATTTTGATGGAATCGGTAGATATGTAAAACATTGATTTTTATATTTTTGTTGCCATGGCAACGGTTTCACTTTATCAAGGAAAATTGAAAAATCTTCTTTTTTACCCATATTTTCACATTTTTGATAACGGAAAATTAACAATTTAAATAAAAGTAGCATAAATTATACTAATTCAGGTCATTTTAATTATATAAGTTTGATAATTTATAAAATAAATCAATTTTTTAATGAAAATAATATTCGAGGTGAAATATGAAATACGTCAAATTTGGCGTCTTTTACTAAAAAAATGGGACGGGCAATATCTTTGAAAATCGTATTAAATGATGAAGCTAATCTCCCTGAATAAATTGATATATAGCATGTGTGCATATTAAAAAAAATATGAGTTGGAGGGAGACGCAAACCTTACCTTAAAACAGATAATGTTTGTTCAAAAAAAATCGGGGGGGGGGGGGGGGGGGGGTACACGGCGAGTCATATGTCAAGAGGGATTTTGTAGCTCTGTAGGAATATCGGAAATTTTACAGTTGTTCGATTTACCTAAACATTTTAACTTTTCAGAGCACTGACCAAATGACAATATCTATATTTATAAACCTTGTGGTTATCGTCACAGTATCTTTTGGTATGTGATGCTTTTCATACTTCATGTTAAACCCCCCCCCCCCCCCCACCCCAAGATTCTTAGGGATGACGCATATTTTTACATTAAGCAAGCACACAGCACAAAACATCCTATGACAAGCCTATTCTTTTAAAAAGTGATGTATCGCTCTTATACCTATGCTCATCAGCTTGTCTTATACAAGATAGGCTATATAGAAACTAAAGTAAATTATTCTTAAACTCAAAATGAATAGCATTCCTTTCTATCATTCGGGTTCCTTAAAGATGTTATATGTTTTCATAAGGAAG